AGGTGCCCCAACCCATACGTACATCAACTTCAACTGGAGCCCTATGACTTAACAAATCCTCAAAGTGACCAGATGTATGAACAAGCACTAACACTACCCACTTGCTTAATGTTGGTTCAAATTCTTATAATCTCTTCTGGGTATCCAGACAGAATTGTGACACCTGAAACAATGAGATCAACTGTTTAATTTAACATCACCCTTCCAGTTAAGTCCATGTCTTTGCCAAGCTGAAGCTTTCCTGGTCTCATTGTATAAGAGTTTCTAAAGAGCTCAATCTCCTGCTGGGTGTGGTGGCTCATGCCTGTAATCCCAGTACCTGGGAGGCCAAGGCAGTTGGATCACCTGAGGTCAAAAGTTTGAGACCAGCCTGGCCAACATGGTGAACCCCCATCTCTACTAAAAATACAAAATTAGCTGGATATGGTGGCATGCGCCTGTAATCCCAGCTACTTGGGAACCTGAGGCAGCAGAATCACTTGAACCTGGGAGGCAGAGGTTGCAGTAAGCCAAGATAGCGCCACTGCACTCCAGCCTGGGTGACAGAGCGAGACTCTGTCTCAAAAAATAAACATAAATAAAAATAAAAGAGCTCAATATCCAGTCTCTATCTCCTTTAGAGGTCTGTTGGTGAGGCTGAAAATTTCCACCCTCACTGGCTCTTTCTTGAACAGGCCCCATCCTGAGGCTATCTAGAGGCTCCACCCTAAGTCATCTCATTAGCATAAACTCCAAGGTGATAAAAGGGGACTTGTTAAAAATAGTAAAAGATACTCCCTTGCTGGGGCGTGGTGGCTTATACCTATAATCTCCGCACTTTGGGAGGCTGAAACTGGAGGATTGCTTGAGGCCAGGGGTTCAAAGTCACTCTGGACAACAACATAGGAAGATCTTGTCTCTAAAAAAAAAAATTAGCTGGGCATGGTAGCACATGCCACTAGTCTCAGCTATTCAAGAGGCTGAGGTGGGAAGACTGCTTGAACCTGGGAGATTATAGGCAGGTGGGAAGATTGCTTGCAGGCTGCAGTGAGCAATGATCACACCATGGCACTCCAACCTGGGTGATAGAGCGAGACCTTTCCAAAAAAGAAAAAAAAAAGATATTCCTATGACTTAGGGAAATTTGAAGAGTTTTAGGAGCTGCATGCCAAGAATCAAGGACAAAGCCAATTTTAAAAAATATAAGACTGGGCACAGTGGTTCACACTTGTAATCCCAGTATTTGGGAAGCCAAGACAGACAGATCACTTGAGGTCGGGAGTTCAAGACCAGCCTGGCCAACATGGCAAATCCCTGTCTCTACTAAAAAGATAAAAATTAGCCAGTGGGGTGGCATGCACCTGTAATCCCAGCTACTTAGGAGGCTGAGGCTGGAGAATTACTTGAACCTGGGAGACAGAGATTTGGGTGAGCTGAGATGGCACCACTGCACTCCAGCCTGGTGAAAAAGTGAAACCCTGTCTTTAAATAAATAAATAGGCTGGGCGTGGTGGCTCACGCCTGTAATTCAAACACTTTGGAGGCCAAGGCGGGCAGATCACCTGAGGTCGGGAGTTCAAGACCAGCCTGACCAACATGGTGAAACCCCGTCTTTTAAAAAATGATATAAAATAAATAAATAAATAACAAATAAAAAACTAAATAAAAATATAATACCACAACCTATGATATGTAAAGAAAGTGCATTAGAAATTAAAAAACAAAAAAACAAAAACAAACAAACAAAAAAAAAACCAGGCTAGGTGTGGTGGTTCACCCCTGTAATCCCAGCACTTTGGGAGCCCGAGGCACATGGATCACCTGAGGTCAGGAGTTTGAGACTGGCCTGGCCAACATGGTGAAACCTGTCTCTATAACAAACAAATGAACAAACAAACAAGAAACCCAGCAATAAAATCCCAGAACTAAATGGCTTCACCACTGAATTCTATCAAATATTTAAAGATTTTTTTTTTTTGAAAGGGAGTCTTGCACTGTAACCCAGACTGAAGTGCAGTGGCACAATCTCAGCTCACTGTATCCTCCGCCTCCTGGGTTCAAGAGATTCTCCTGCCTCAGCCTTCCTGTAGCTGGGATTACAGGCGCCCACCACCACACCCAGCTAACTTCTGTATTTTCAGTAGAGACAAGGTTTCACCATATTGGCCGGGCTAGTCTCGAACTCCTGACCTCAGGTGATCCACCTACCTCAGTCTCCAAAAGTGCTGGGATTGTAGGTGTGAGCCACTGTGCCTGGCCATATTTAAAGATTTAATACCAGTATTTTACAAACTCTTCCATAAAACAGAAGGGTAAGGAACAATTCTCACCCATTTGAGACCATACCAAAACCAGATAACCAGATAACCATCACAAAAAAACTACAAATATTGATCATGAAAATGAATTCAAAAATTGGTAACAGGGTGAGTGTGGTGACTTACATCTGTAATCCTAGCACTTTGGAAGGCCAAGGTGGGAGGATCACTTGAGGCCAGGAGTTCAAAACCAGCCTGGGCAACATGGTGAGACCATGTCTCTACAAAACATTTTAAATTAGCCAAACATGGTGGGATGTGCTTGTAGTCCTAGCTACTTGGGAGGCTGAGGCAGGAGGATTGCTTGAGTCCAGGAGTGTGAGGCTGCAGTGAACTATAATCACACTGCTTCACTCCAGCCTGGGAAACAGAGTCAGACTCTGTTTCTGGAAAACAAATAAATAAATGAACAAAAATCAGTAATAAATTACTAATAAGCAAAATACAGCAATAAAAAAAAAAATTGTAAAAGACCAAGTGGGATTTATCCCAGGCATAGGTTGATCAAACATCTGTTATCAGCTGAATTGAGCCCACTCCCCTAAAATTTATATGTTGATGCCCTAAACCTCACTTCATTAGAATGTGCCCATATTTGAAAATAACTCCTTTCAAAGTGATTACATTAAAATGAGGCTAAGCTGGGTGAGGTGGCTCACGCCTGTAATCCCAACACTTTGGGAGGCTGAGGCAGGTGGATCACCTGCAGTTGGAAGTTTGAGACCAACCACCCCAACATGGTGAAACCCCATCTTACCAAAAATACAAAAATTAGCCGGGTGTCATGATGCATGCCTGTAATCCCAGCTACTTTGGGAGACTGAGGCAGGAGAATCACTTGAACTCGGGAGGTGGAGGTTGCAGTGAGCTGAGATCGTGCCACTGCACTCCAGCCTGGGTGTTGGAATGAGACTGTGTCTCAAAAAGAAAAAAAAAGGCCGTCAAAATTAAACTAAAATAAAAAGAAAGAAATGGCAAGACTCCAGTCAAAATTCAAATATTAAAAAAATGAAAGCATATGCCTCAAGGCATTCGTAATGGATTTTTGTTATAAATTATAGGAAATACAAATTGTTTCTCTCTGTGAAGCTAATGATCTTTGGGTTTTGAATTGATGCAGCTAATTTATGTACAAGCATTCAACTCATTTGAATGACCATGGGCAAATTATTTAACCTGTGCCTCAGCTGTTTACCTATAAATGAAGATAAAAGGAACACATATTTTATAGGGTTACCATGAATAGAAAATGGAAAGTACTTAGCAAAATGTCTGCCATATGAAAGTGCCAAGTAAATGTTAGCCATTGTTATTGCTAAGAAAGTGGCTCAGAGAGGAACTTACCTGTCACTCTTCTCCCTGGTGTGTTAACTTCACCCCTGAACAGCTCTTTGATGTTGGTTTTGGCAGAAGAGGGTGAGGGGACCCAGGAGGGTCCTGGCAAGAAGGCCCAGAGAGAAGACTAGAGGACGTTACCAATAAGGAAGGAGAAAATGGGGTAAGAGACAGGGCGGGGGGAAGCAGATGAGCATATAACTAATGACATTCACTGAATTCATTGAAAGGATCTGGCTGGGCGTGGTGGCTCCTGCCCGTAATCACAGCATTTTGGGAGTCCGAGGTGGGCGGATCACAGGTCAGAAGTTTGAGACCAGCCTGGCCAACACAGTAAAATCCTGTCTATACTAAAAATACAAAAAATAAGCGAGGCGTAGTGGCAGGCACCTATAATACCAGCTACTCGGGAGGTGGATGTTGTAGTGAGCTGAGATAGCGCCATTGCCCCCCAGCCTGGGCTACAGTGCAAGACTCCTTCTCAAAAAAAAAAAAAAAAAAAAGAAAGAAAAAGAAAGTATCTTTTCTTTTTTAAATTTCTTTGTTATTTAAAAAGCTTTTTCACTTAATACTGGATACCTCTGGTGTGGCATAATCTACTTTGCACAGAGAAAGCAGGAGAAGAATAGGAAGGAGGAATAGAGGGTGGGAGGAAGGAAGGGAGGAAAGACACATACTGAAGCTGTCTTTAAGTTTATCTATTATAATCTTTGCCACTCTCCCCTTAATGCATTTGCTTCTTCCTTAATTTCGTAAGGAAGATGCCTTTGAGTAGGGCTGCTCCATAGAGTATTTTTTAATATAGAAAGATGGCTGAGAGGAGGAAGAGGAAAATATCCTTGGCACTTCTGCCTATGAATAGGAAGAACTGAAGGGAGAAGAAAGGATAAACCAAAGAGAAGGCCAACCTGCTCCAGGACTAGGGCTCAAGAGGAGCATCCAGTGATTTAAAAGAAGTGCTATCACTAATCATCAGGTAAATGCACATCAAAACCAATGAGATATCCCTCATACCTGTTAAGATGGCTTTTATCAAAATAGACCAAGTGTTGGTAAGACTATGGAGAAATTAGAACTCTTGTACATTGTTGGTGGGAATGTAAAATGGCATGGCCACTATGGAAAACAGTGTGGCTGGTCCTCAGAAAATTAAAAATAGTACTACCATGAAATCCAAGAATCCCATTCCCAAAGAATTTAATCCAACAGAGTTGTAACAGGAATATTGAAGTGATACTGGCATTCCCACATTTATTGCAGCATCATTCACAATAGCCACGATATGTAAACAACCCAAATGTCTGTTAACAGATGAATAGATAAAGAAAATGTGGTCTCGGCTGCTTTCGGCTCGCTTGTCGGCGCAAGATGGTGGACATCTCCCTGGACGAACTCATCAGGAAACGCGGGGAGGTAGCGACAGGACAGCTTAATGTCAGACCGGGAGTTGGAGGTGTCTGATCTCCAGCTGGGATTCAGCAAGGCCTTCTCAGCCAGTCAGCACGCACAGCCACCTTCCAGCAAAGATTTGATGCCCGGCAGAAGATTGGCCTCGCAGATGCCCGGCTCAAACTGGGAGTCAAGGATGCCCAGGAGAAGCTTTTGCAAAAAGATGCCCAGTTTCGGATCAAAGGGAAAGTGCAGGATACCAGAGCGATGTTGAACTCTCGCAAGCAGCAGACCACCGTGCCCCAGAAGCCCCGCCAGGTCGCTGATGCCCAGGAGATCAGCTTGAAGAGGAGTTCACGTGCTGCCTTCAGGAACCCACCCATTGGGATAGTGACTCCTGCCCTGAAGCTCACCAAAACCATCCAGGTTCCACAGCAGAAATCCATGGCACCACTTCATCCGCATCCTGCTGGAATGAGAATCAATGTTGTCAATAACCACCAGGCCAAACAGAATTTCTATGACCTGGATGAAGAAGATGTTGGTATAGCTTCCATTCCTGCTAAACAGATGAAATTTGCAGCCTCAGGCGGCTTTCTCCGCCATGCGGCTGGGCTAAGCAGTTCCAAGCTCTCCATGTCCAAGGCCTCCCTCTCACCAAAGTGGTTCAGAATGATGCATACACAGCTCCTACTCTCCCCTCCTCTATTCGAACAAAAGCCTTGACCAACATGCCCCGGACACAGGTGAACAACGAAGAACACCCCCCCACCAAAGAGCTGCCACCTGCTGAGCCTGTCCTCAGCCCACTGGAAGGCACCAAGATGACTGTGAATAATCTGCACCCTCAAGTCACTGAGGAGGACATTGTTGAGCTTCTCTGTGTGTATGGAGCCCTCAAGAGAGCTCGGCTGTTCCATCCTGGGGTAGCGGAGGTGGTGTTTGTGAAAAAGGACGATGCCATCACTGCATATAAGAAGTACAACAACCGGTGTCTGGATGGGTAGCTGATGAAGTGCAACCTTCACATGAATGGGAACCTTGTCACCTCAGACCGGTCCATCCTGCTGCGGCTAAGTTACAGCCCCTCGGTGAAAAAGGAGAGCAAGATGCCTCGCAGGGTGAACTCTGCCTCCTCCTCCAACCCCCCTGCCGAAGTGGACCCTGATACCATCCTGAAGGCGCTCTTCAAATCCTCAGGGGCCTCTGTGACCACGCAGCCCACAGAATTCAAAATCAAGCTTTGAGCAGGGGAGTGAGGCAGCCAGAAGTGGGGGCAGAGGAGGGTGGCTCTGTTTCCCCAAGACAAAGCTTGTGACCAATAGGCCATCCGACTGGAGATCCCTGAGCGTGGGCAGGGTCGCCGGGGGTAAAGCGCTTCCTCACTGGATGGAACCCGCCTTTCTGTGCTGTGTTCTGCCCTGTGCTCTTCTATGTTAACGTTTCCTGTAGAATGTTTCATCTTCTCCATCTCATCGCCAAGGTAGGCTTGTGTTTTTCAGAGCATGCCTCCCCCAGCCTCAGCCCCAGGCGGATTTCTTATCTGGAAATGGTACACTAAATTCTCTGGGTGGCTTTCTTGTGTCCCCATAGGATGCAGGGCAGGGGCTGTCTGAAGGACCCTAGTTTTTCCAGGCGCCGCGGGGCTGCCTTTCCTTTGTGTATGTTCAGCTTTTCAAACAACGCAGGGGATGCAAAGCCCTGCCGTCCTGACGGGAACCAGGTCGGCTTGAGGGCTGTGCCGCTGCTCTGCCTGGTCAGCGGAGGTGCCTAGGTGGGAGCAGGTCTCAGGCCTCTTGTCCTCTCCCCGGTGGCTCCAGGCCTCACGAGTGGCAAGGGCAGGATGAAGCTCACTGCTGGGAAGAGTCTGTCCAAGCTCTTGGCTTGGAGGCCCATGCTGCCTCCGCCCAGAGGAAGTTCTCCGAAGTTCACCTTTCCCTTGAGTTGCGCTGAATGCCCCAGCCCAGGTCTCTTTCCCTTCTGGGCGTTAATGCTGGGTGGGGAGCTGCGTTGTGAGCCCTCCCGGTTCTCACCTAGCCTGGCACTCATCACACCCTGGTTTTGGTGCAGCTACCAGCTCTCCTCTGGTTAGGCCTTTCAAAGGCTCCACCTCCCATTCTGCAACACAGTGGGTTTGGGGCAAATGCAAGAGGTCGGTTTGCTCCTGGCTCTCCATTTCTGGCCTCCGTTTTCTATAGGACAGTGGTCAGGGATGTCCTGATGCATATATCCAGCTGCCACACCAGCGTTCCCACTTTTGTGAGTGACCCATCCATCCATGATCAGAGGGATATCTTCCTGCCTTGGCAGAAGAGGAGGAGTCAAAGGAGCCAGGCAGCTCTACCAGGCAAGCTGTTTCCCCAGCATAGGCGCCGGCAGTTGGCACAAAGCTATAGAGCCCAGGGGCAGTCCCTGGATTACCAGGCCAGCGTTTCCCCTGGTGTTGCTGAGTGGTCCCCTGCTGATTTGTTGGGACTGAAGGGAATCCAGGTTGGCAGAGCTGGAGCCAGTTGGGAAGCAGGATTCTGGGAGCGCTGCAAAATCAGTCGCAAGTGCTGGGAAAGGCGCATGATGGAGACAGAGTGCCCAAGACTTGCTTGAGGCTAGCCCAGTGAAGAAAAACCCAGAAACTCATGTTTCCAGAGGTCAGTCTGTCAGGCAGGATGGGCCCAGGGTTTGAACCCAGCTTCAGTCCTCGGGCTCTGAGGTTGCCCAGGGCAGGAAAGTCCAAGGAAGGGGCCTGGTGGTGCTCCACGTCCAGTTCTTTAAAGATGGAGCTTTTTATTTTCTTAACCTTCAAGTGGGTGCAGACTGAGTTCTCGTTAGCAGCTGGAAGATATTCCTCCTACACTTTACCCTTCCTGGCCCAAGAGAGCACCCAGAAGGCAGTAGGACCTGAGTTTTCAGGTACTGGGAACAGGGGGCTCACTGCTTGCACTCTGCTTAGGGTTGGGACAGTAAATATCCTGCCACACGGCTTTACCCTTCCCTCTAATCCCAAAGCTGGTATGTTCTGGCTGTCACAGAGTTTCATTGAGCCCAGCTGCAGCCATCCGGAGGTGGTGCTGTAGGTAATCATCTGGTACACTGAGGGGACCTGTTTGCCTCCTCCGCTGTACAAGCTGTCATCTTGGGAGACAAGGAAGAGAAGGTGGTGGGCCAGTCATGTGTCCTCTGCTTCCCATGCCTCTGCGTTACCCATCTGTGTTTCTTGTGCAAAAAGAGAGGAAGAGGCATTAAGGGATGAAGGGTGATTATGTATTACTTATCCATTTCTGAATAAAAGTTGGTTATTCCAAAGAAAGAAAGAAAGAAAATGTGGTGTGTGTGTCTGTGTGTGTGTATAGTATTATTCACGGTGAAAAAGAAAGAAAGAAATTCTCCAATTTGTGACAACGTAGATGAACTTGGAAAACATGCTAAATGAAATAACATAGTCACAGAAGGACAAATATTGCATGATTTCACTTATATGAGATATCTAAAATACCCATACTCAGAAGGAGAGACTAGAACAGAGATTGCTAGGGACAAGGGGAGGGAAGAAAGGGAGAGTTGTTGTTCAAGGTATGTCAAGTTTCAGTGATGCTAAGACAAAAATGTTCTAGAGATCTGCTGTACAGCATAGTTCCCGATATGGTTTGACTGTATCCCTACCCAAATCTCACCTTGAATTGCAATTGTAATAATCCCCACATGTCAAGGACAGGACCAAGGACCAATTGAATCATGGAGGTGGTTTCCCTCATACTGTTCTCATTATAGTGAATAAGTCTTACGAGATCTGATGGCTTTAAAAAGGGGAGTTCCCCTGCACACTCTCTCTTGCCTGCTGCCATGTAAGACATGACTTTGCTCCTCATTTTCCTTCTACCATGATTATAAAGCTTCCCCAGCCATGTGGAACTGTGAGTCAATTAAACCTCTTTTCTTTATAAATTACCCAATCTCGAGTGCATCTTTATTAGCAGCATCAGACATACATAATGCCTGTAATTCACAATATGGTGTTATATCCCTAAAAATTGTTAAGAGGGTAGATCTCATGTTAAGAGTTCTTATTACTGGGACACCCCCCACCTACTTACCTTCCCCCACCTTCCCTCCATGCACAAAAGGACATGAAAACTTTCAGAGGTGGTGGATACGTTTATTTCCTTGATAGTGGGGATGGTATGGGTGTACACATACATCAAACTTATGGAACTGTATACACTAAATGCGCAGTTTGTATTGTATATCAATTATACTTCAATAAAGCTCTTAAAAAATAAATAAGGGGCCAGGCGCGGTGGCTCACACCTGTAATCCCAGCACTTTGGGAGGCCGAGGCGAGTGGATCACGAGGTCAAGAGATTGAGACCATCCTGGTCAACATGGTGAAACCCTGTCTCTACTAAAAATACAAAAAATTAGCTGGGCATGGTGGTGCATGCCTGTAATCCCAGCCACTCAGGAGGCTGAGGCAGGAGAATTGCCTGAACCCAGGAGGCGGAGATTGCAGTGAGCCGAGATCGCGCCATTGCACTCCAGCCTGGGTAACAACAGCGAAACTCCATCTCAAAAAAATAAATAAATAAATAAATAAATAAAATCAGGACTACAAAAAATAATAAAATAAAGGAAGTACTGACAGGAAGCACGTGGAAGCAAAAATTTCATGCAGGATACTTGGGCCAAGAGAACTAGTAATCCCAGGCTACCCATGGGATGCTTCTCAGACCTCCAGCTCAATGGAGAAGTTTGAGACTTCAACCTGATGAAAGTGACAAAATGGAGGATGGGGTACCATACACTAGGGATTGAGGGGCTATGAATAAGATCTAAAAAGCCTTCCTTGTCCTTGGCAGGCTGGTGCACATGCCATGGCAGGGAAGAATGATCCTGTTTGTCATAGGGCATCATTTTTCATAATAGAGGAAGCGGATTTTAATCTCTAAGCACTGCTATGAGCACGTCTTTATAAGGAAGAACCTGCCTGCAGAAATGGGCTCTGGTCAGCGCTTTTTGTGTGGAAGGCAGAGCCCAGGCTTCTGCCTGAGAGAAAGCAACTCTGCATAATGTAGGGAAGAGAGTTAGAGCTGACTGGGGTCTTTGGGGAAGAATTGTCAAGATGAACCCCTCAAAGTGGCATTGGTTATAGGAAGAACTATGGGGAGAGCTAAATGTTGACATAATTGTATTGAGTTGTTGGCTGAATGATTTGTGTGATACACTCTTTTCACCCTTTCTCCTTTCTTTTTTATTATTATTATTATTTTCAAGTTCCCATTGCCCAGGGGCCATTTCCCCTTTCAATCTTTGGTAAAACTTATGTTTCTTTTTAACTTCATTGTTGTTGTTATTTTAAATAGAGGTGGGTTCTCACTATGCAGTCTGGGCTGGTCTCAAATTCTTGGGCTCAAATGATTCTCCTGCCTTGGCTTCCCAAAGTGCTGTGATTATGGGCGTGAGCCATCACACCCAGCCAAAATGTATGTTTCTTATTAATGCTTTATAAGGCATTATCTTTGTGAGGGCATGGGTATAATTCTCAGTGCTGCATGGATTGAAATAGACTACACCTGACCAGTTTCAAGTCCACCTTCCCTCAGTCAGTCTGGATTGATCACATCTTTTCCTCAGAGTCCCTGGGGAAGGAAAGGCACCCAAGAGAGGGACACGAAGGAAAATAGGACATTGGACATTCTACAACTCCCAGAGGTCAGGTCTGGGGAGCACTTGGCCTGGACTGAAGATGGCCCATGTAGTCTAGAAAGTTTTCCTGCTATGTCGGGTGCAGTGGCTCATGGCTATAATCCCAGCACTTTGGGAGGCAGAGGTAGGTGGATCACCTGAGGTCAGGAGTTCGAGACCATCCTGACCAATATGGTAAAACCCCGTCTCCACTAAAAATACCAAAAAAAAGCCAGTCATGGTGGCTCATGCCTGTAATCCCAGGACTTTGGGAGGCTGAGGCAGGCGGCTCACAAGGTCAAGAGATTGAGACCATTCTGGCCAACATAGCGTAACCCTGTCTCTACTAAAAATACAAGAAAATTAACTGGGTGTGGTAGTGTGTGCCTGTAGTCCCTGCTACTCAGGAGGCTGAGGCAGAAGAATTGCTTGAACTGGGCAGGCAGAGGTTGCAGTGAGCTGAGATCGCACTACTGCACTCCAGCCTAGACAACAGAGCAAGACACCATCTCAAAAAAAGAGTTTTCCTGCTTTGTGGTAATACAAATGGCATATGTATTCACCTGCCAAGCATGGAGAAAAAAACAAAGGGTTTCTTTCCACGGTTCCTTGTGAAATGTGGAGAATACACTATAGCTTTCAAGACAGACTGCCTATATCCTGGTTCCTTTCTGAGTTTACTATTTGCTGGTCCCTAGCCTTTAGAAAGTCTTTTTGTTTTCTTTCTCTAACTGTTCCAGCTTGTCTCACTCAGCTGGGCTAGTTCAAGAGAAGAGACCGAGTGCCAGATAGATACCAGGGCAACAGCACCTCCCTATGGCTTCGTGGCAGGATAGCAAGAAACATTAGCACCTGGATCTACCCAAGGAAAGGGTCAACCACAAAGGCGATTTGTAGGAGGTACAAGCTTTAGATTTTTATTATCATTAAGGAAAGTGGCATTTTTCCTTAGGCTGTCACCTGTTGAATGCCACATGGTTACAGACCATGAGTGGAAGTGCAGAAAATCTAAGAATCAAGATATCCACTAAAGTTTTTTTTTCATTTTTTTATTGTAAATTCACAATTTATAATTGTATAGATTTATGGGTTCTGGGAAGAGGGAGTTGCATGGGAAAAAATTTATGGGGTACAAAATGTTATAATTTATGAATGCAATGTGAAATAATTAAATCAAGCTAGTTAACATATCCATCACCTCAAATACTTAATTTTTTGTGGCATGAACTTTGAATTTTACTTAGCAATTTGAAATTTACAACACTCTATTAACTGTATTTACCATGCTATGCAATAGAATGCACAAAAAGAGAAAGCATATTCTCCCTGTTTGAAATTGTATACCCTTTGCTCAGCACCTCTCCATTTCCCCCTCCTCCAGCTTCTGTCACCATCATTCTATTCTTCACTTCTATTAAGTTCATTGTTTTAATTCCACATATAAGTTGGCTTTTGGGGCCTGACTTAT